TGCATCTGCAACAAAATTTGACTTAATGAATTACAAAAACAAGTGGGGCTATCTGAGCTGGAAAAACAAAGCTTCAGAGAACTCACAGATATGTGACAACATTTAAGAGCTTTTAGGTAAATGGCGACTTTAAGAGGAACACTGGCTGCAAACTGATAAATTATTTAGCTTACATTACCATTAAATCTCTGATATCCTTAAGTTCATCAGCATTATTCTAATGAAATATAATTTTCTTGTGTACTGTCTTGAAAAAATAATATTGATTATTTGATAAGTAATGTTTGATTAAACTTTAGCCTTCAGATTGATTGTGTATGGTCTAACGTTAACCAAAAACTGACTAACTGGACCCTGATGTGTAAAAGGTTACAAAAGCCTCATCCCCCTTTACCAAGGTTTTATAATTAAGTAAATGATGAAAATTGACAAAATATATATTTTTTAAATAGTGTAACCTCTCTGCCATCTAGTGGATTTTTTTAATTACCTATCTTTTTTTTAGCTGTTTGTACTTGTAATTAGAGGCTTCATATTCTACAGAGTTCATACACATTTTTACTACTAAAATTCCATGACTTTTCCAAGACTTTTCCAGAACTTTCAAGTAAATTTTCCCCCAACAAATCTAAATAACCCTGTTAAATCATCTGTTGAAATTGTATTCACATCACAAAAGTACAAAATATGGTAATGTCAGATTTTATCAATATTGTGCAGTCCTAATTCAAGTTAGTATACAGATATTTGTTAAACTAATTACCATGACTTTCCCAAAACTGTTTCAGGCCTGGAAAATGCCATGTAAAAATTCCATGACTTTTCCAGGTTTTCCAAGCCCAGCCAAAACCAGCTATGTCATTGTCCAGCTTAAACCAGGATGGTCAAGCTGGTGTAGATGGTTTTAGCTGGTCACTTTCCAGCCTGATCAGCTAAGACCAGGCTGGAAATGGCCAAAACCCCTCCAAAACCAGGCTGGTCGACCAGCTAAAACCAGTCAACCATCCTAGGCTGGTTTAAGCTGGATTTTTCAGCAGGGTGGCCGCATGAACCCCTCATTCTAGCAAAACTTTAGCTATTGTATCAGGACTGTAACGTTAACTTACTCTGACTTTACACCACAATACAACCGTGGTATTATTAATGTATTACTAATGTATAATATTAACGTAATATTAATGTAATGACTTATAATATAAAATCCAAGCAGCCTCAATCGCTCAAACATCCAAGCATTTTTATTCAAAAAAATCTGAACGGACATTAATTCCAGCATCATGCGATCTTTATAATGTAACGTTATTTCACACATATAAAACATTTGACGTTACATAACGTTACATGTTTTACAACAGATGTAGTCTTATATGAAATACGGTAAAAGCGATAACTTAACAGTTAATTTACGGTCACCACCGTTTTTTTAACTACGAAACTTGTCAGTGACACTTCCGTCGACGGTCGGTTTTCTGTTGTTCAATTAAGCAAACGACACCTTACAGATCTCAGAATTATGTAAAGACAAAATATATGTATATAAGTTAGCTACGATTGTTATGATAATTTTGATGTATTTCATCAATTGTATTTAACGTTACCCTGTATGCTTGACAATCCTCCACGGCACATCTCCTAACTTCAGTCGACGGTCGGTTTACTAATGTTCAGTTTAGCAACGACACTTTACGTGTATCCCAGAATCATGTAAAGACAAAATATATGGATATAGCTACGATTGTTATAATAATTTTGATGTATTTCATAAATTTTATTTACTCTGTATGCTCGATAATCCTCCACTGCACATCTCCTTCGTCGAAGTTCGTTATGACCGTTTAAGTTTGTTGCCTTTTGAATGCAGAATAAAAAAACAGACGGGATTATTAGTTTTATTATTTATTTGTTTATTTATTTATTCAAAAGATTTACTTTATTTGTTTTTCATTCATTTTTTTATTTATTTAATTCTCAAAAGTCACCCAATGATATTTTTATTTATTTAAATCAATTCAAGTTTATCTGCATAGCACCAAAGAGCATAGAATCACTAAGCTGATAGCGCTTTTTACAATAATTATTGTTTCAAAGCAGCTTTACAAAAGATGCACATTATTGTATTACATTCATTCATTAATTTTCTTTTCTGCTTCCTTTTTTGGGGTAGCCACAGCAGAATGAACCGCCAACTCATCCAGCATAGTAACTGTAAAAAATGTAGAGTTTCACACATTTTATCCATGTCCCAACACAAATCGATTAAGTTAACTTAACATTTTTAACAAATTTATGTGGATTTGACAAAAAATATTAAGTTGTTCCATTGAAATCTTAAGAACTGTGTTGTTTAAGCTATAATTATAAATAAGTAGTTTTTACAATCAAAAAATAGTGTATGTTTCACGCATGCCCTTCCAGCTGCAACCCATCAGGAAAATGCATTACAATCAAACTAAGTTAAGGTTACAATCAAATTTATTATATACATACATCATTAATCTTCAGTTTCAAAGCATATATAGGTGATGTCTATGTCTATAAAACTTATTTTAAAGAAAATGTCTGATGCATAAAGAGTGTGTCCAACAGGTGGTTTGTCAAGCCAACTCACTAGCATGGCGCACATGCATCATACCATTATGTGATGCATCGTGTGTATGCTTCACTAAAAAGAGGTCTTTAATCTATAATTTTTAATCTAGTAGTTTCTTATTGTTTAAATGTGCAATAAAAAATGTTCTGCTATATTTTATGCTATTTTGTGTAGCCACACTAATAAACTCTGTAAATGTTCTGTTATAAAAAAATATATAAACAATAACGTACAGAATATCGATCAAATCTAGTGAAGGTCTGATAGGCCTACCTCAATGTAAAATTCACACTCTTTTTTTAGAAAGTAACGTTAAATCTACAGTGAAAGTTTATATGAAAAGCAAAAAGAATACAAACGAGGGAATATTAACTGCTTTAGGTGAGATGTTTTTGCAGTGTTTCACACCAATTCATAGTAATGGCCATAGTTTTTACTCTCTCGTTTTTGTGACCTATTGCCAACTACGAAAATTAGTGGGAGCTACGATATAACCTATAGGCCAAGATTAGCTAAAGATTTACAAAGTTGATAAATTACAACTATGAAGAAAAAATGTATGCCCTTAAACGCAAACCGAGTGTTCTCAAACAGACCAATATATCACTGTAGTATAGTAGTTCACATAATTGACCACTAGGTGGGAATCTTATTCTGTGTTTGGGAATACTATTTACTAGAGGGATTTTCTGGATGTAACTATACTAAACTATACTTTTAAAATCAACTGGATTAGACAACTTGTTAAATATCCAACCTCTTTTTGGAATATGATTCTCCTTTATATTTTATCCTGTGTGGGTGGCATAAACTTTTTTTTTCTTATTTGTAATTTTGATATTACTGTGACAAAATACCTGTGAAACATTCATCATATCACTATCAAGCTTTTTTTGATTTACAAACACAATTATTGACCACACCGTTACTTCATTTAGAATAACAAGAACGTTTTATATGAAACATTTTTTTTTCTTTTTTTTTGATAACTGTTTAATAAATAACATTGTATTGGTAAACCAATTATTTAACTCAGATGCCCTTCTTTTCATATATGAGGAATCCTTAGCAAAATATAATTTTCCCATACCACCAAAGAAATTTACAACAGTTTTTGGTGCAATCTCTCCTAAAATATGTATGTTGTATAAACATCAAAACAGATTAAGTTAAGTAACAACATTGTGTGTTTAGCTCATGGAGATCCTCTCTTTTAGCTTGTAAGACAAATGGCTTGGGTGTGGGAGTCAACTGCTTTTTGCATTACATCATCACCAACCCTTTCGTTTATTCAGATGCCTCCTGTGCAGTGCTGACACGTGTGCACGATACTGCAATATGACCTACTACGTGTGTGTGTTGGCTCAAATTTAAAAAAGGCACTACTCCACTTTCAATTTCACATTCTCTGAAGCAGAACTGTTTGCCATATAGGCTATACACGGCCAAACTTAAAAACAGCTTTTATGTAATTTATTCATGTAAATATGGTCAAGATGATCTTCTGAACACATCTTTAAGCCTCTGTAATCCTCATAAAATTACCATAGTAATTTATAGTAAATAGTGTATATTGTGTTTAAACCATTCTACAGCACAGTACTTGAATTAATCTGCTGTGGTCATACACAACTAATATAAACAAATGACCTGTACAAGTTTTCTACAAATAAAGGGTATATTTTAGTAAATGCACAACAGATTATTATTGTAAATATAGAAATATACGTTCAGTTTTTACAGTTAATACTATACATTATGATGCACTTTATTATATAGTGTGCTTCATATTACCATATTTTTTTCATGTGTAATTTAAAGCTTTAATGGGACCGTAAGGCTTTTGACAGAAAAGCACAGGCTATTGCATCCACCTGTCTGAGTACTGTTGGTCAGTAAAACTGAAACAATAATGTTATTGTGGTCCCATTTTATGATCTATATCCAACAGATAATGTGACATGACATAGATGGGTTCACAAATGGCCTCCACAAGCACTAGATATTAGATTACCATGAAAAAACAAGGTTCTGAATGCAAACTGGGGTCTGACCTGATGCTAGCAAGATGTACCTAATAAAGTGGCCAGTGAGAGTATATATTCTTAAAATTACAATTAAACTACAGTATGACAGCTTAACTGATGTATTTTTACTATCAGAAAAAGTCAAATGTGCTGTTTTGTTTATATTTGAATGAGGATTTGGGTGACACCTCTTTTGCCCATGGTTTCACTTTCATTTATTCTTAGGTTGTAAATAGTATCCATTAAGTCCAGTGAAGGATGAGGTTTGAGGAAAGTACCAAGCAACCAAGCTGCAAACCCATTGGATATTCATTGGTGGAAACTCCCACCTGTACTGATTTAAGATCCACACCTCAGCATTCATTCTGATGCACTGCTGAACAGCAAGCTCAGTTTTTCAGTCAAGCATGGGCTTTGAACAAAGAAATATGTTCTGGAGGTTTGGAAAAAAGAAAAAGAATGGGAATGAGAAGAAGTCTTTATTGAAAAGCATAGAGCAGACTGAAGGTAAGGTTATTAGTTTTTAGCAGCCTTTGCTTGCATGTTTTGAAAAGTAGGGTCTTGGCAATGTGTATTGTTTGAAGTTTTGCAACAGTATTTGGCATCTTGGGTTGATAAATCATATTTGAGTTTAGGATTAAACAGTGATTTCAGCAGAATTAAATTTTTGATTTGATACAATTGTCTGCTTTTTGTTCATGTGACTTTGTTTATTAAAATAAAAAATAAAAAGTGCAATTCCTGCAAACAATGATTTTATTTGTTTAATAAATTTTGTTTATTTTACATTTCTAAGAAAAAAAAATCTAAATGTTACTATTTTTAGTTTTGTAAAGTAAAAACTATCAAGATGACACAATTACCCTGGTAGCATGTAATTTATTTTTATTTATTAGTATTAATAATATTAATAATATTAATATTATTTTTTTTTACGTTTTATGACTGCACAAGCTTACTTTACTTGTAAAATGTTATGTGATACAAATCCTCAGAAACCTAAATTATATTTATAAATTAATAATGGTCTAATTAATGAAATAATGTTTAGTTTGGGATGACACAATGACTTGGTGGTTAGCACTGTCACCTCAGAGCAAGAAGGTTGCTGGTTCGAGTCCCGGCTGGGTCTCCTTGTTCTTCCCATGTTGGCATGGGTTTCCTCCGGGTGCTCTGGTTTCCCCCACTGATGTGTGGTACAGGCTTATTGAATAAACTAAATTGACCGTAATGTATGTGTGTGAACCTATGCTAAATAAGTTGGCGGTTCATTCTGCTGTGGTGACCCCTGATGAATAGGGACGAAGAACAATGAATGAGTAATGTTTGTGTATATAGGATAAAAAAAGTATGAATGTAATAAAAAAGTATCAGTCATTCATTTTCTTTTTCGGCTTAGTTTCTTTATTAATCTGGGATCGCCACCGCGGAATGAACCGCCAACTTATCCAGCATATGTTTTCAGCAGTGAATGCCCTTCAAGCTGCAACCCATCACTGGGTAACATCCATGCACACTCTTTCACACACATACACTACGGACAATTTAGCTTACCCAAGACACCTCATGTTTTTGAACTGTGGGGGAAACCGGAACACCCGGAGGAAACCCACGCCAACACAGAGAGAACATGCACACTCCACACAGAAACGCCAACTGACCCAGCCGGGGCTCGAACCAGCGACTCTCTTTCTGTGAGGCGATGCTACCTAAAGTATTAACGTAATAGGAAGACCTTTGGTTAGCTTACACCACAAATATTCAGAACCTATAAAACTGAAATGAATGTGAAATTGACATTTCTTGGAATTTGACATCTCTGTATTTTTTTATTTTATTTTACCATGTAACAGGAGGACAGGCGTTCGAAAACATGTCTGGTGGGTTTCCTGATTTAATTACAGCTAATTCTGAAGTGAGTAACAAGAAATCGCTCAATTTTCTCAAAAAGATCCTGAGTGAGACATCATACCCTGAGGACATTGACAGTGAGGTGGTGGACGGCTTCCCTCAAAAAAGCAACTTTGAGGTAATCGATGAGTTTGTGGAAAGGAATTTTCCAAAGCTGCCAGAAGAGGGAACCAAAGGATCTCAATTAAAGCAGTTACGAGAATTTCTAAAGAGCGCAGAGAGCCAGATTTACAATGATGTACTTCGCTTAACACCTGCACTGAAGGACACTGGACTGCTGGATCATCTGATAAACAATTACTTCCGTCTACTGTTTACCAAGTTAGACCTCCTCTTAAACCGAAATCTTTCAGGGGAAGAGACTTTCTGCCTTCTTCGGTGGGGAAACGATGTTTTCTTCAGGTAGGCTTAAGCTTGTCTTTAATTTACCTTTGTGCTTTTAATTACGACAAAGCATACTGATGAATATATGGGTCTGTCTATGTTTCAGTTCAGACTCTAAGGTTGTCTTCAGAGTTTGTGACCCTCTGCTGTTGACAGGATGGTTTGAGAGAGCAAAAGTGAAACTCCTGCCAGAACTACAGGTTGTTTTCTTCAAAAAGTATTACCAATGTACTCCCTTAAAAAGAAATGTGTGAAATAACAGAAAATGTATAGGCTACTGGAATACGTATACGTTTTTTTTTTGGTACTGTAATTTATGTGACCAATCTAGACAATATAATTTCATACTCAAAAAAATATAATTTCATACTAAATTTTTTGGAAATAGGCTAATTTTACAAGTCACCTCGAGTTAAACAGTTGGGTTTTAGCAATTTTTTTTAATTCATTCAGACTATCTCTGGGTCTGGTGCAGCATTTTAGCTTAGCTTAGCATAAATCATTGATTCGCATTAGACCGTTAGCATCAATAAAGAGTTTTGATAATTAAAAAGTTGTCTTAATGATTAAAAACATATATAGGCAAAATCACTGTGTAATATCATTACTCAGCAGCAAAGTTCTTTTATGCTGGAATGAGAATATAGTGCCAAGCCAAATTTACCTAGAAAAAAATAACGTGTCATTTTCCATCAGTCTGAGTGCAAGATGTAATTACAGGGGATGGACAATGAAACTGAAAAGCCTGGTTTTACAGCAGAATAATTCAGTAGTATGTTGTAGGGCAGGGGTGTCTAAACTCAGTCCTGGAGGGCCGGTGTCCTGCAAATTTTAGTTCCAATCTCAATCAGACACACCTGAACTTACTAATCAAGCTCTTTCTAGGTGAACTAGAAACTTCCAAGGCAGGTGTGTTAAATGAAGTTGGAGCTAAACTGTGCAGGACAATACAGCATCAGTTTGTCTAGGGAATGACAGATACAAGTCCTGCACAGTGGCCAGAGGTATTTTTCAGAATAGTTGTGTATACAGTATGATGCTACTGTAGTAAAAATTTCCTGACTCGCTCCTCCAAAACACCCCAAAGTGACTCAATAATATTTAGATCAGGTGAATGAGCAGGCCATAGGAGATTTTTGACTTAACTTTCATGTTCATCAAACCACTCCAGTTTAGTTGTGTGTATTGGTGTATTATCATCCTGATACACAGCACCACCTTCAAGATAATGTTTGACTCATTGGGTGCACATGGTTCTTCAGAATGGTTTGGTAGTCCTTGGCAGTGATGTGCACATCTAGCACAAGTATTGGTCTAGGGAATGTCATGACATTACAGCCCAAACCATCACTCATCCACCTCCATGCTTCACTCTGGGCATGCAAGAGTCTGTTTATCTGGGGCTTCTCCACACCATAAATCTCGCAGATGTGGGAGAGAAAGTGAAGATGGTCTCATCAGAGAACAGTACATGTTTCACATTCTCCACAGCCCAAAATATTTGCTGCTGGCTCCATTGAAACCAACTTTTGCCATTGGCATGCTTGATCAAAAATTTGGCTATAGCAGCCCAGCCATGTTACAGAGGCTGTGGAGCTCCCAACAAACAGGTTTGGTGGAAACAGGAGAGTTGAGGTGCACATTTAATTCTGCAGTGAGTTGTGCAGCTGTGTTGTGTTTTTATTTATTTATTTATTTTTATTTAATTTTTTTTATACAATCCGGGTAGGCACTCAGACATCCCCTTTCAGTCAGCTTTCTCTTGCATCCAGTAACTCCTGTTAGTTGTGGTTTGTCCTTGTTGGTGGTATGTTGACATTACCCTGGATACTGTGGCTTTTGATACATCACAAAGACTTGCTGTCTTGGTCACAGATGCACCACAACAATTTGCCCTCTTTTGAACTCACCCATAATGTTGCGTTCATTTCAATATTTCAAGCAAAACTGTGCTATTACCCTGCTAATTAAACCTGCACTCTTTTACCGGTGGAATGTGTAATCAATGAAGATTGACCACCAGGCTGCTCATTTTTAGCCATGAATCATTCAACACTACATTGGCCTACAGTGTTTCAGTGTCATTGTCTAGCCCCTGTAAAAGTCAAACTTTAAATAATGAAATTATTAACACTCTTTTTTTGCGTGTGAGATGCTAACAGTCTAATCCAATTCATGTATTTAGGCTAAGCTAAGCTAAAAGTGTTCTACCAAACCCAGAGATCAGCTGAATAGATTTAAAAAATGGTTAAACTCAACTGTTTACCCTAGGAAATTTGTAAAAAAAAAAAAAAACATGGGAGTGTAAAAAACACATGAACACAAGTGTATTTAGCAGATATTTTACTATATATTTTGCTAACAAAGAGCACCCAAACTACTGTAGCTAAATTTCTACTATGGACTTAATACATGTATCTCTTACCCGTTTTAATTGCCACAGGATGAAATCTCTAGGCGTCTGCAGAATATCCTGGATTATGATCAGCATCATAGGAATCAAGTGGACGAAGAGACTTTCATCAGGGTGCATTTAGATGTCAGTCAGGTATAGGAAACAATGTACAATTCTCACATTTTCCTCAGTTATTGAAAATATGCTTTTTAATCTTTGATAAAAATTGTTCTTTACAGTGTCTCAATGCTGTTATTACAAATTCTAAAGACTTTAGTGATACACTGATGTGTTTGGCCCAAAACATCTGTCTTCAAGAGCTTCATCATTTTGTTGAGATGTAAGTGTCTAAAGTATGCTTGTCCTCATATTATCAAATGTTGTACTCTTGTTTACATGCTTACAGTTGAAGCTTGAATTATCAGCCCCCCTGTGTATTTTTCCCCTAATTCCTGTTTAATTGAAAGAGGATTTTTTCAACAAATTCTTAACATAATAGTTTTAATAACTCACTTTAAATAGCTGATTACTTTTATCTTTGAAATGATGACAGTAAATAATATTTTACTAGATATTTTTCAAGATATTAGTATTTTAAAGTAACATTTAAAGGCTTAACTAGGTTAATTAGGCAATTCGTAGTGTAACGATGGTTTGTTTTGTAGACAAATTTGTTGAAGGGGACTAATACTATTGGTCTATAAATATATATAATATATATAATTTATTTATTTATTATTATTTTTTTTTATTATTAAAAATTGCTTATATTTTAGCTAAAATAAAACAAACAAGACTTTCTCTAGAAGAAAAAATAGGCAATATAGGCAATACTGTAAGAAATTCTGTCTTTTTTTAAGCCTCATTTGGGAAACATGTGAAAAAGAAAAAAAACAAAATCCACAGAAGGGCTCTAAACATTTTGTAACTGTATATATTAAAATAATATTAGGGTGTCTGTGGGGTCCAAAACAAAATTTCATGCCTTAAAAAGTCCATAATTCACTGAAATATTTTTCTTAAATGATTTTAAACAGGTCTTCATTTTCCTTTGTTTATGTAAAGCTGCAATTGAGCCAGCACACATCCAATCGCCAACAATACATCTCAATAAAACTTTAAGCAAAACTCTATTTATAACTAATGTTATATTATTCTTTGTTTATTTGACATAGACATCACAATTACACTGGACAAACCAAATGCTTTTGTTTAAGTGTTTTAGCAGACGTGCTAATTCTTAACAGTTGTCCAAGGGAGGCTTGATATAAAATGAAAGTCAAATAAATACACACACACAACATTATACTTATTTACATAAAATTGCTATAAGGCAAAAGTAAAAAGCTTTTAAGCTGAAAACAATTTGCATGTGAGACTTTGCTTGATTTGACCAAAGTCCCTTTAAGGCAAGTTAATTTATTCGGCAGCCATCTTTGAAAAGCCTCTCGGGCAGTATGCTTGAGCATTCTGTCTGAATGGGGAAACATTAAAATCCTAAACTACTTGCCAAACTTACGAATACATTTCATATTACAAATAACCAATAAAATTAAACAACAAATATCAATTTAGTTTCATTTCTAAATGTTCGTATCACATAAAATATGCAGAAACTCACCTCTGGTCCGAGCCCCTCCTCCGGAGAATTGTCATTCTATTTCGATCACTGATTGGCTTCTGTTCTAGAAGGTGGGCTTTATTCGCCATATTGCGATCGCTGATTGGCTCGTGTACTAAAAGGCGGGGCTTCATTCACCATATTGACAGTTACATTTTTCCCCATTCAAAAGTATACGAGTGACATGTCTTGTGTGTTCGTCTTTGATATGACACTTATTTAAAGTATGTGACCAACAAGTTACTAGTTAGAATTGGTTTCTTGATAGGGCAAGTATTTTTATGCTGGGCCATCAAGAAAATCCTTAGCGCTTAGCCCTATTGAGGTCTAAAAGTTCATTCTTGATAGTCTGTAAAGGTCTTTAAAAGCCTAAATTTGACTTGGTGAAACCTTCAGAAACCCTGTAATATGAACTTTTACTTCAAAACCAATGTTTATCTTCCTAGGTATGTGCATTCAGAGAAAAAACACATTGAAAAGCTGCAACCCCTCAGCACAAAGCACTCTGTATATCTGCTTCGGGTCATCAGCACCTGTAGGCAACTCAGGTCAGTTTAATGTTCATAACCCACAATAACATGTTTACTGTATAATCAGCTCACCACAGAACTGTAATTCTGTCCTAACACCAGCACGTGTATTTATTTTGCTGTAGATTTTTGGCTCCCCAGTTCTATAATCAGGATACAAATAAGACAGACGACCTCTTAAACATCATCTGCATGCTACAGAAGATGGAGGATCAGGTGTTGTCTTTAGTACAAAAGATGATGAAAGAGTTCGCACAGGTGTGTCATCATATTGTTGTCACTGGTTGTTGTTAAGCACTGATGGAAAGTTTGGGGATTTCCCAGATTAGTTCTGGTTCAATGCTTGTTAATGTGTTTGTTCATGAGGTTAATGGCCTTTTACATACCTATTAGTTTTTTTTTGTGTTTGTTTTTTTTTAATATGAAGAAGTTACACTTTGTAGTCAGATTCGCCTTTAGTTACTGCAGTATTTAAAATGAACTATCAATTAACAGTTCATATCACAAACATGATTTATCAGTAAACATTTATAAACTTACACTAACCTAGCATAATAATTATGTTGTTTGTTGCCCCTATTTTGCCTTCAGTAATTCAGATTTAACCTTTTTTTCCATAAATATTGATCCATTCTCAAATTCCCCAATTTTTTATGTTGCAGCCTTTTTCCAAAATGAATTAAATTAATTTATTTCCACAATTCAGCACACAATGCCCCAAAATGACAATGTGAAAAAAAGATTTTTTGAAATTGTTGTAAATGTATTAAAAATAAAAACCTGAAAAATCACATGTACAGAAGTATTCCCAGCCTTTGCTCAATAATTTGTTGATGCACCTTTGGCAGCAGTTACAGCCTCAAGTCATTTTGAATATGATCCAACAAGCTTGGCACACCTGTCTTTAGAAATGTTTGCCTATACCTCTTTGCAGTAGCTCTCAAGCTCTATCAGGTTAGATGAGAAGCGACGATGTACAGCCATTTTCAGATCTCTCCAGAGATGTTCAATAGGATTTAGGTCTGTGCTCTTGCTGGGCCACTCAAGGACATTTACCGAGTTGCTGTGAAGCCTCTTCTTAGACATTTTGGAGGTGTGCTTTGGGTCATTGTCCTGCTGGAAGATGAACCATCGCCCCAGTCTGAGCTCAAGAGCACTCTGAAATAGGTTTTCATTCAGGAAGTCTCTGTATTTTGCTGCATTCATCTTTCCCTCTATCCTGACTAGTCTTCCAGTCCCTGCTGCTAAAAAACATCCCCACAGTATGGATGGTATTAGCCTGGTGATAAGCGGTGCCTGGTTTTCTCCAAATGTAGTGTCTGGCATTAACTCCAAAGAGTTAAATTTTAGTCTCATCAGACCAGATAATTTAGTTTCATATGGTCTGAGAGTTGTTCAGATGCCTTTTGGCAAATTACAGGCGGGGACTGGCTTCTGTCTGGCCACTCTACCATACAGGCCTGATTGGTGGATTGCTGCACAGATGGTTGTCCTTCTGTAAGGTTCTCCTCTCTCCACAGAAGAATGTTGGAGCTCAGACAGAGTGACCATCGGGTTATTAATCACCTCCCTGACTAAGGCCCTTGTACCCCGATCACTCAGCTTAGATGGCCGGCCAACTCTAGGAAGAGTCCTGGTGGTTCCAAAAATCTTCCACTTATGGATGATGGAGGCCACTGTACTCATTTGAACTTTCAGAGCAGCAGAATTTTTTTCTGTAACCTTTTCTAGCCTTGTGCCTCGAGACAATCTTGTCTCGTAGGTCTACAGATAATTCCTTGGTATTCATGCTTGGTTTGTGCTTTGACATGCACTGTCAACCCTGGGACCTTATATAGACAGGTGTATGGCTTTCGAAATCATGTTCAGTATTGTGTGTAGAATTTTGAGGAAATAAATGAATTTAATTCATGTTGCAATAAGGCTGTAAAATAAAAAAAAATGTGGAAAATGTGAAGTGCTGTGAATACTTTCCTGGTGCACCGTGTGTATATATATAAGAATATAAAGCAGAAACCATTGCTACTTCACAAACTAACTAGATAGTATTTGAATGTACATATACATTACTATTGTGTATATATATATATGTATATATTAGTAAAAACTATTTTTATAATATATGTATCTTTTCAGGCCACTTTAAGACGGTATTTCAAACATGGGGATTTGCCCATTCATATCTTGACCGAAGAAATCAGAAATCATTGTGCGTCTCTGCCTCAGACTGATGTGGGAAAGGAGATTCGGGAGGTCGGTTCTGTCAAGTCTTCTGTTGTTTTTTCCAAATCAGAATTTCATCTTTACATTAATTTTTTCACACTTGTCCTCTGCCTCTCTGTTCTGCTTTTTTCTGATAGATCTTCGTGAATGTTGTCTATGACTGTGTGTCACGTGTGTATCTTGATTGCCTGATGAAGAGCAAGAGGAAACGTCTAGAGAAGACATGGGGAGATGTTGGAGAAAGGATAAAAGAAGACGCTGCCCATTTTCACATAACATTCACTCAACTGGTAAAAATAATACTTTATAGTGTTCAGTTTAATTACAATATTAAAGGAACAATCCACTGTTTTTAAAAGCGGCTTCTTTTACTTGTCTCCTAGAGTTTGATTCAAGTTGACAGGAATTATTTTCAATCCATTCAGCCTATCGCTAGTTCTGGAGTAGTCACTTTTAGCTTAGCTTAGCATTATGAATGGAATCAGATTTGACCATTAGGATTTTGTTAAAACAATGTAAAAATAGTTTTGGTAATTTTCCTATTTAAAGCTTAAGTCTTCTGTAGTGACATTGTGTAATAAAAATTGACAGAAAAAGAAAAATTTAAATTGTCTAATATTGCTAGAAACTATAACCTTATTCTGGCCTGGCGTAAGTCAAGAAACCCTGCTGCTGTATGGCTGAACAAAAAATCTTAAATGATTCAAGTCAACTGTTTAATTTTAGGAGACTTGTAATATGCATTTTAGCCTTTTCCAGAAACGGTGGAGTATTCCTTTGAAATTGAATGTTTTAAAAGAGGGTTTCAAAAAGAAGAACCGTTTTGGGTCCCCTATTTTATATGTCATATAGTCATAGCCACAGTCTTAAAAAGCTATTGTATATATACACTCACTGGCCACTTTAATAGGTCCAACTGCTCTTTAACACAAATTTCTAATTAGCCAATCACATGGCATCAATTCAATGCATTTAGGCATGGAGACATGGTTAAGACGATCTGCTGCAGTTCAAACCGAGCATCAGAATAGGGAAGAAAAATGGTTTAAGTGACTTTGAACGTGGCATGGTTGTTTATGCCAGACAGGCTGGTCTGAGTATTTCAGAAACTGCTGATCTACTCGGATTTTTACACACAACTATCTCTAGGGTTTACAGAGAATAGTCTGAAAAAGAGAAAATATCTAGTGAGCGGCAGTTCTGTGGGCACAAATGCCTTGTTGTTGCCAGACGTCAGAGAAGAATGAGATACATCAGCAGAAGACCACACCAGGTGCCACTCCTGTCAGCTAAGAACAGGAAACTGAGACTACAATTCACACAGGCTGACCAAAATTGGATGACAGAAGAATGGAAAAATGTTGCCTGGTCTGATCAGTCTCGATTTCTGCTGCAACATTCAGATAGTCGAATCAGAATTTGGGGGGTTGGTGTGGTGGATGGCAGTCAGGGGTGAATAACACTGTTGAGAACCGGGTTAGTAACGGTTGTGTAAATAACTTTATTATAGACCGGGTTTCGGGTGACCACTGCAATCAGATATTATACCAAAGTTGGTGACCAGGGGGTGTTACAGACTGTACCAAAAAGCTGAGGTTGTAAAATTCCGGGAGTTTTCTAGGGGGAATACCAAAACGGGAGGGTGTGGGAGACTCCCAGGAAAAACAGAAATGTTGGCAGGTATGCTCCACAGTCAACAGATCTCAATCCAATATTCGCATCATGGATGTGCAGCCGACAAATCTGCAGGAACTGTGTGATGCTATCATGTCAATATGGACAGAAAACTCTGACGAATGTTTCCAGTACCTTGTTAAATCTATAGCACAAAGGATTAATGCAGTTCTGAAGGCATAAAAGGGTCCCACCTGGTACTAGTAAAATGTACCTAATGAAGTGGCCAGTGTGTGTGTATATTCTAGCTAATCTGTTCGAGGTTAAAAGTTCACCAGTTCAAAAAAATGGGGATCGGAAGATTTTTTTTTAGCTGAATGCTTTTCGTACAATGTCAATATATAGATCAATGTTGTAAAAACGACAAAAAACTTGATTATTTGGTTTCAAATGAGTGGTTTAAAAACTTCCATAAGCACATTTGTATAGATTTTTTTAAATATATGCTGTAAATGGTTCTATGAGTCCAGTTCAATTAATCTAGTAATCATAAAAAATACCAGATTAATAAATGTGTAAATGTTTTAATGAGACATTTGTTTATTTTTTTTAAATGGCATAATAGATATTAATAGTATTTTATAGGCATGTTGACTGATTCATCCACATAACAAGCATAATACGCTTAGAAGATGGCTAAAGGACACTTATTATACTAACATTGCAGTGGATTACTTAAATACATGTTATAGCTTGTATTGTATAAAATGCACAATTACATTGAAAGTGTTTTCAGTTTTTTTTTTTTTTTTTACTAATTTTGCCTCCTAATTTTTTTTTTTGTGGCTATAAAAATGTTACTGATTAATAATTGCTATTCCAGCCAATAAACTCAAAGTGTATCTTTTTCCAGCAGAATGGCAGTGATGACCAGAACAACCAGCTCCTTAAGAGAATGAGTGAAGTTTTGTGTTGTGATGATATAGAAGCACTGAAGCTCGACTGTGGAAGTTTGTTCAAAGACTTCCCTGATGACAGGTAAACTGAGTCGTGATGTGGTCATTCTGTTAGTGTTTGTGAATGTATGAGTGATTCTAAATGTTTTGCAGTCAGCAGTATGTTCCTGGTCTGCTGCGCTGGAAGGGGACTTTATCAAAGCGGCAGGTGAGGAAAGTACTGAAAGTTCGGGATCTCGACCTGGATGCAAATTCCAGGGATGTCGCCTGTCATCCTTTGAAGGCCCTATGCTGTTGTATTTAATTGAAAAAAACATCATCAACCAGAATGATAAAACTGTTCACAAGTGTACAAGGCTCCCATTGGTCATGGACGTTATGGGATATCTTTATTTCTATAGCACTTTCACAATGTAGATTGTGTCTAAGCAGCTTAACACAGAAGCTCTAGTAAAGTGAAAGTGTCACTTCAGTTTTCAGAGTTTACGTTCAGTTTAGTTCAGTTCAGTGTGGTTTAATTTTCGCTGCTGAAAGTCCAAATACTGAAGAGCTAATCTATTGATGCGCAGCTCCGCTAGTCCCAAACCAAGCAAGCCAGTGGCGACCATGGCAAGGAACAAAACTTCACCAATTGACGAAAGTGAAGGGAAAAAACCTTGAGAGAAACAAGGCTCTGTTGGGCAGGACCATTTATATTAAAATATCGTGGAATTCTATAAGGTCTATTCCAGGAATTGAAAGTAAGGGATTTTTTTTTTTTTCTTATCAAAGTCATGGAATTGTAGATTGTTTTTATTGTCATATAAATTTTTTGTCTGCATTTATCAAAATGGCATTTTTCTAAACCATATTTTTAATAGATTGTTTCATGTTTTTTTTTGTTGCTACATTTTATTCCTTGTATGCTTAACAAGTGTCAGACTCTAAAGCAGGGATCACCAAACTTGTTCCTGTAGGGCCGGTGTCCTGCAGATTTTAGCTCCAACCCTAATCAAACACACCTGAACAAGCTAATCAGGGTCTTACTAGGTATACTTGAAACACCCAGGCAGGTGTGTTCAGGCAAGTTGGAACTAAACCCTGCAGGGACACCGGCCCTCCAGGACCGAGATTAGTGACCCCTGCTTTAAAGTCAAATGCAGTCTCCAGACTGAATCCATTAAACAGAATACCATGCCTCTTCTTACTTTCACGCAGATTTAAGGAACTAAGAGTATTTGTTTTACATTTGAACTTAAACATTTAAAAGACATTCTAGGCTTTTAACACACAAAAACGTAAAAAGCTAAACCTTACCTATGAAATGTTTTGTCTTTGTGCTTTATTTTCTTTGTTTGCTCGTTACTTCACCCGTACAAAGCGCTAAAGCACAGCATCTTCACGTAGTAACACTGTCTTGACTAGTGCTGTTGAATGACAATTGTCCTGGGAGCACTGTACAAATATGGCGGCGCTATTGACGCATACTCAGGGTCCCTATGCGATATCTAGTGTATATATCAATGGTGTGTGTGTGTGTGTGTTTGTGTGTGTGTATAATGCCTTTTGTTCATTTGTTTGTTTTATTATTTAATTAATCTGCATTAATTTTAGACATGGCATATGCCGTATACTGTACAATAAAAGTATGTGAAAAATAACTGAAAAGTTATTTATATATATGAAACTTTTTTCAAAACTAAATCTAGATTTTTACATTTTATTTTATTGAATTTATAGTTGTTGTTTTTTAGGAGTGAATTGCAATATTTCAAGAGTAATTTATTAAATTAATTAAAACCAAATTTTTATTTTATTTACCAGAAACAAAAATATAACATTACACTGAATTCATATATATATATATATCTTCTGGCCCAACATTTTCTGGGGCCACCACTGGTTTACATGGATTGTAGCAAATTAAAATCCAGTGTGCATTTGTCATTTTAAGCTTAAATATGATTTTTATTATAAACAAAGCACATTAGACTTTTTTAATATGTTTAACACTCATATGTATTTCAAAATAGAACAATATTTTGAGTTTTTTAGCACTGACATAAAAAAGGGCTTGTATCGCCTGCGGTACAGCCATATCTCCCTGCAGAACAAGAACGGTTTCTCACTATTATTATCACTTTTATCATGATTTATTGGATAAGATTGTAACTATAACTATTCAATAATAAAAAAAAAAAAAACGTTACTCACTAAAGCTAAGCAGGGCTGAACCTGTTCAGTACCTGGATGGGAGACTGCTGTTGAAAGTGGTTTTTGTGACAGCCTGCGTCCTAACGCCCCAGAATATTGATGGGTTAGTGAGCTTAGTGAGCACCGTCTCTCGGATGAGACGTTAAACTGAGGTCCTGACTCTTAGTGGTCATTAAAAATCCCATGGCACTTCTCGAAAAGTGTAGGGGTGTAACCCTGGTGTCCTGGCTAAATTCCCTCCACCTTTCCTTACCGGCCTCCCAATCATCACCATCCGCAGAATTGTCTCTAATACTGTCTCAACACTCCACCAATAGCTGGTGTGTGGTGAGCACACTGGCGCTGTTGTCCTGTGGCTGCTGCCGCATTATCTAAGTGGATGCTGCACACTGGTGGTGGTGTAGAGAGACCCCCCTCATGATTGTGAAGCGCTTTGGGTGTATGGCCATACATAATAAATGTCCTATACACACAGAACATTCACACTGTGGTACAGTAAACATCAGAGAGTTTATTAAGGCTAATATGTCAGGATAATATAAATTCAATGATTGGGGGTCTTTAAAGACTGGCTGTTCAAATAAATGGCATAAACACTAAATGTAAAGTTCTGGCCCTGTGAGGTTATAAAATCTAAACTATGAAATGACTCGTTTTTTATTAAAGCCTAAGCATTCATTATAAGTATCAGTGAAGACTCTTCCACATCTAAGTACTGTATGTGTAGGGAGCACTTCACAGCAGCACAAACAGTAAAAACCTTTAGACACAAAATGACATTCCATTTTAATATTATGCAAAGCACAGCATCAACCTGTTTTTTTTCCGTTATAGGTCATGGAAATTCTTTTTGGTCAGTGAAAGTCAGGGAAAAGTCAGGGAATTTTATAGTTGGCTTGAAGTCGGAACCCTTAATAGCATGACTGTTTGAAATCCAGTTACTGTATGAACTTAAATAGTTTATAGTATGCATGCGTTTTTTCTATCAGATATTCTATACATTTATTCTATACAAATATTTTACTTGAAAAATAGAGAGTAATCTATTTATGAGACAACTGGCGAATCTACTGTTTACATGCACAAGTATGAACTTGCATTATTGAATCACAGATGGTCCAGGTGCTTGATTCTGATTGGTTCAGCTGCATTCAAAGCCGTTACTAATGACCAAATAAACATACCAGTGACCTCATTGCATCAGTATCATTGAGCCAGTCTTAATGCTGTTCAAAAATGACATGTTTTTGCAAATTATCTGCATATTCATTACAGCATCATTCCCCTTTAATTCTAACGCTGTTCCTTCAAAGAAATGTTTCTTATTTGAAGTGTGTGTGTAATCATTCAAAGGGAGTGTTATTTGAAAATGTCCACTATTAATGTGTTCATTATTTGCACAGTTTGATGACACTTTCTATACATGTGATGACACTTGTGCTATGCAACAAACCGGTTTGCTGTAAAGGTGCACTTCTGTGTATGTATGTGAGAAGTAAATACTATGTTCTTAAATAAAATGCATGCAAAAGGCTCTTAGTCTGATTTATTTGAGCTCCATCAGATTATAACTCCTAGTGCTGTTTACATGGGCAGAGATCATTTATTTTACTGGAAGGACGGGGTTTAATGTTTTAACATTCATTCATTTTTAGCCCCTTATATCTGGGGTCACCACAGCAGAATGAACCGCCAACTCATAACAAAACATTCACTCATTCATTGTGATTTATTTAATTTACCTGTGCCGCATGTCTTTGGACTGTGGGGGAAACCAGAGCACCCGGAGGAAACCCAAGAAAACAGAAGGAAAGCATGCAAAATGCCAACTGGTCTAGCCAGGAATCGAACCAGTGACCTTCTTGCTGTGAGGTGATAGTTCTAACCACTGAGCAACCGTGCCACCTAAAAAGTAACCTGAAAAATACAAATATTCTACGTTTTATTTTTATGTGCAACCATTTTATAAAAGCCACAAACCACACAATGCTGTGATTTACAGTGAATTTAGAAGTCTGTGGAGATTTGGTTATTTTGATGCTCATAGTTTTAATAGTTTTATTCATTTTTATTTTTAGAAATTTCATTTTCATTTATTTTTTTGAAAATCACTTACTAAGAAACTGCAGTCTCTCATACAATACACTACCTGACAAAAGTCTTGTCTTCGATCCCAGTTGTAGAGTTGTAATAACTTGACTTCTAGTTGATCATTTGGTAAAGCGTCAGAAGGTAAATGTTTCTGGTGAATCATCCGTTGAACTGCATCCCAATCATCACACAATACTGGAGAAGATCTATTGGAACCCACATGAACCCAATACTCTGACAGAAATTAGTCAAGTTTGGTGAAGGAAAAATCATGGTTTGGGGTTTCATTCAGTATAGGGGCGTGTGAGAGATCTGCAGAGTGGATGAACATCAACAGCCTGAGGTATCAAGACATTTGTGCTGCCACTTACATTACAATCTACAGGAGAGGGCAAATTCTTCAGCAGGATAGCGCTCCTTCTCATACTTCAGCCTCCACATCAAGGTTCCTGAAAGCAAAGAAGGTCAAGGGGCTCCAGGATTGGCCTGCCCAGTCACAAGACATGAACATTATTGTGCATGTCTGGGGTAAGATGAAGGAGGAGGCACTGAAGATGAATCCAAAGAATCTTGATGAACTCTGGGAGTCCTACAAGAACGCTTTCTTTGCCATTTCAGATGACTTTATTAATAAGATATTTGAGTCATTGCAGAGATGTATGGATGCAGTCCTCCAAGCTCATGGGAGTCATACACAATATTAATCTTTTTTCCACTGCAGCATGACTTTATATTCTATACTGGACATTATTTCTGTTCAGTGACAAGACTTTTGTCTAAGCAAAGTCAGACCTTACTTTTCTAATTAAAGAATTAAAAATCAAGGCTTGATCATATTTAATATTGGTAAAAATAAGCGTAATCTACAGGCCTTTGCCTTTCATATAAGCTATTTCTAATATCAAATTAGCAACTAGAAATCAAGTTATTATTTGTTGACAAGACTTTTGTCAGGTAGTGTATGGATTATATAATTTTCCTTTCCAACATGTTTTGAATATATGTTAGATATATGTTGTATTTGTATTTTTGAAACTGATTATTAAATTATCAATAATTAAAATTGAGAATACCGCATTTCATTTCAACAAAAAGTGTATTTCTAAATCTTTTTTGGTGTGAAGAAAGACATTTAGAATGTGTATGGAGATCAGAATATTAATGATTTAAAGATATCTAATGTGATTATTTTTTAATAATATTAATAAAAACAAGAACAGCAACAATATGAATCGTACGTGTCATCAAAA